AGACTTAGAGGCCTGCTTTTTCGTTGGAGATTTAGAGGTCTACGCTGTAGCTTCCTCGATAATAACAGGATCCTTTGATGTACTTCCCTTTCCATCTTTCTTGCAACCAATAGGGGACTTGGAAGTCTTTTTATATGCAACAAACCGAGTCCTCGAAGCCACACCGGTAGGAATAGGAGATGGAGATAAGTTCTTGTTCCTCTTGCTAGTCCTTGTACCTGCAACACCACCAAAAATTATAAAAGTAAATACCCAAAAGATATATATTGCCACAATATGAAGAAATAAACTCTAATCCTGAAACTGTCTTACAAAAAATTAACATACCTTGAGATGATGGCACATTCGAGTGGAGAACTTCAGTTAAAGGGGAAGATGCATTCACTGTCTTCTTCGCTTTCCTTGCACCTAATTCCACAAAAAAAATGAGCATAACAGTACAAGCAAGTACACAAGTTACTTAAATCCAAACAGTACCATGAGATGCTGAGTCTTGTGAACAGACAGTTCCAACTGATGGCGATGAAGTGTCTCTTTTCCTCTTCCCTTTCCTTGCAACTGACTCTGCAAATCAATAAATCCACAAACCAAGGATAAACAAGTCTTTCAATCCAAGCTCAAACAAATGAAATACATAATTTAATTCAATGCAACAACAAATAAAAAAAAGAACTTCAGGTACGTTGACCTGCTGGGTCCTGTGAACCAAGAATCTCAACAGATGGAGATGACGGATTTTGTTTCCTCTTCAAATTCCTTTCACCTGATTCTACAAAAAAACAAATCACAAAGAAAGAAAATAAAAATTTCATATAATAAAGAATCATTTCAATTCAATGCTAAAATAATAAAAAACCGTTCATCAAAAACAAATTGTACCATGAGCAGAAGAGTTGTTTGAGGAGATGATCTCAGTTGCCTGCGAAGTACAAAACTGAGTACCAACAGCATCATCATACAGACCATCTGATTCGATCTTCTTTGTCACATGCTTCTTTAGTCTTAGTCTCATGTACAACCCCAGATGGATCAACTGCTCTGACAGCTGCATTACTTGGAGCACCAGCCACTCTTTCATCCAAACCATCTCGTGGAACAGTACCGCGACCTGGAGAAGGCAGACACGGGGCAGAGGCACCATAGTCAACATTATCATGTGCTGGAGAGGGCACCCTGGTACCAGACCTCGCAGCATCATGAGCACCAGCAACATTATGATGAACTCCATCATCAGGATTCTGAGCCTCAGCACGTGCATCATAACCAACACCAGGGTATGCACGATGCATGTACGTGAACATCTTGGCAACAAGAAGGTCAGGGCTACTGTAACCATGCTTTGCCTGATGATCTTCGTAAAGCCTACACACGTGTAATTTGTCCTGTATAGACAAGATAATAGTACAATGTCAACCATGTCAAAATTGAATTTACATGAACAGTCAGCAAAAAATAAATGACAAGGAACCCACATCTGCTGGAAGAAAATGACAATGCTTATCTAAAAGTTTAAGCAATGCTTTGGTAGCATCTTCCGGCAGGTATTCTCCTGCATAGCATGTGTCATCAATTGATTTCACCTGCACGAAACATATCCCAGCTCAGACAGTGATCTCAAAAATATATAAACTCAATACAAGACTAACAAGACTACACAGCAAAACACAAGTATAAACGTATGTACTTTATCTCAATAACATCAGCAGTCATTCATATTCTCAGTTCTACATATATAATTTACTGTGGACATAAATGACAAAAAAGGGCACCACCTTGGACAAATCACAAACTGAAACAACATATTCAGCATCTTCTACCAAGAACATACCGGCCGCTTTCCATAAATGTCACCGCAAACACGATCAAAAGAAGAAAATTTCTTGATCATGGACCCCTTCCAATGCTGGATCCTTGGCAGACTTCGGGGTAACCGATTACTCTCTCCAAAGTTGATGAAATCAAGATAGTAACCCTACAAAACATTTCAAACAACATCACTAAAATCAAATCCAGATCAAACAAAAATGACAGAATAAATGAAGGCAGCAAGGAAAAAAAGACATACAGCAAGGAAATATCGACAACCCCCAATGGTGCTTCTTCTCTTCTTTTTGTAGTTCAAAATAGAAGAAAAAATCCAATCATATACAAGCTTGGACCAGTTCCACCCCATGACCCTCTCCTTAGAAACATCAATCAAGGGGGCCAAATAAAAAGGGCTAGGAAGGGTGCTGGAATTTGCACAAAGGAACGTTGATAGTGCAACCACTATGAAGTACCAGAAAACATCATCATCACATAAGGTATCTCTAAGCAGCTTCTGGCCAAACGTCTTGATAAGGGGTAGAGAGGACTCTTTGATTGCTGAAAGGAACTGGCTCTTTGTGGATTCAGAATAAGCCTGCATGATATCTTCACCTTCCATTGGGAGGCCCAAGAACAGATGGGCTGACAATGTAGATAAGGGGATTATTTTCCCTCCTACAAGAAAATCACTACAGTTCAAGTCCAACTGATCAGTGATCCATTGAATAAATCCCTTAGGTGTCGAACAACCATCATACTGCAGTAAGATGCCAAATCCACGATCATCCAACTGGGCTATAATTTCACCAAAATACTTGCTGTTGAACCTGCTCCCTGCTCTCTCAGAAGTGCTTCCAGTACCAGTCGCTCTCCCTCTACCCCTCCCTCTCACAGACCTGGTACTCTGAAAACCAATACAACAAACACACACATTAAACAACTTAGTCTATTCAATCCACTTGAAGCACAGCAAATAATAAACATAAGACAGAATGTACCGTTCCAGCACGTGTCTGGACACCACGCTGACTTGCTTTCCCTTTAGAGTCAACAAACTTTGCAAACTGAAAAAGACAGGATGAGAATCAAACAATCAGAGAAAATAGACTAAGTTCCGCAAATACCCCTGCAAAGGCCTCTTGCAGATGCTGGAACATCTTCACCATTGATCTTGCATCATAACCCCCATCAACTTCGGTATTTGAGTCCTTAAAAAACCAAACAATCCATATCAGACAAAATATTTCACAATATAGCTTCCAAAATTAGCATCAACTGCACATAAAAACTTAGTACCTCTAGCTCATTCAGAACATCAGAGCTCGATTCATACTCATTCTTGTTACTATCATAAACATGATCTTCATCCTCCATGGCTACACAACCAGCAAACTGTGATTATGAAATCAGTGACAACTTCAATAATGCAGCTTTGCATACGCAAGCAAAATAAAGACATAGTAACAACAAAACGCCATATAAGGACTACTGCAAATGGAGGTTCACATAAAACCAAACAGGTACTTAACATCAACCCAATCCTCACATTACAAGGTTCACATAAGACAACTACAACAATACTACATATAAGGGACAATACTACATATGCTGAAAACTATAATTGCAGTGCCCTATAAGTGCAATTTACATTATCAGTAATTGCAAATTGTGAAACTCAATCTAAAATTTGCCTTATTTTCATCAGCAGTAGGTAATAATACTAACAGATAACTTGAATGCAGGACATTTCTCATTTTAGGGCAAACTAACTAACTCCAAACTAGAGTTCAGAGAGGACACACATAATAAGTATGAACAATGACATCTTAAGCACATGGATACAAGTATACAACACAAGCACAAGCATACAATGCATACAAGGGTAACACTGAACCCTGAACCACACTAGTCTAGAGTAAAGGCACAAGTATATAATAGTGGCTACCATAGCAGGTTGCTGGGTTCAGACATATCTAAACCTCTGAACCCCAAAGAACTAAACCTTAATTTGCAATCAGACTGATCAAAATAGCGGAAACTCCCTACCAAAAGCTTCTTAAAGAAACAGAATATGACCACAAAAGTAATAACACAGAACATGACCAATAAAGGGCAGCTCACTTTACTTAGATTCAAGTAGCATTCTAGAACCCAGTTTATGTGTGTGATATCACAAATATCTTATAGATTCACTGTACTTCCAGGAACAGGACTGAAGATATGTATGAAACCTCAGAAGAAAACTATGATCTCAGTACAGTTGAAGGGATCAACAAGTGGCAACAAGCACTGCAGAAGATGGCTCAAATGAACCAGGTAATAGTTAAATTCACATAAGGCAATGGCCATCCATTGTTCAATTGGATACATGGTACACAGAATCTAACCGAGAAACACAGAAAACAAATCCACGCCACCTGCTAACAATCCAAACAAAAACCCATCCAACTCCAAATCTACGCTGCAAAATCAAAGGGGATGCGCACCAACCACCGCAGCACTCACCACAAACGCCAGCGAGCTTCCAACAGAGAGGCACAATGACAGCTAATCCAACAAACCCTAATCCACACCAACGGTGCGATGAACCCTCTGAATCCACACACCACGAAACCCTAACATGAGCCCATCGAATCGAAATCACCAGATCCACACACCAAATCGCAACCAAAATGGGTCAAAATAAAGGGAAGAGGGAGCCATACTACCTGCTGACCTCCGCTGCGACGCACCCTCTGAATCAAAAAGTGAGGAAGAAGACCGAGCAGACCTACGCCGTCGTCGTCGCCGTCGCCTTCAGCGTCGCCAAAGAGGAGGGAGAGAAAGGGAGAGGAAACGAAATGGACAGGAGTGGACCGAGTGGAGCGGAGACTTCTCGGCAGGCGCGACGATCCAAAATTAAACAGTAAAGTGGGTCCCACATGTCAGCGACGGAGCGGGTGGAAAACAGACCGCACAAGCGCGCGCCGTCGATGCCCCATCCGACGGAGGACAAATCGCGTGTTTTCTCCAACAGAAACACGCGAGTGTCCTTTAGCAATACCGTAAGATAAACATGCATACGTGTGTATATGAGTGGTACGGGGTGCCTCAGCCAAAAAAATAGAAGGTGTATCTAGATTTATTTATTTATTGCTACAAAGGGCAGGAGAAAACGACACAAGCAACAATGCAAAGTCTATATAGACGCAACCATGGTGACCTCGGCGTTGCTTGCTCTGCTGCTGCTCATTGCCCTTCTCTCCTTTCTCCTCCTCCTCTTCTCCACTGTTGGTGTTAACCCTGGTGCACTGATCAGGTGCTGAAGCTACTCGAAGAGGAGGTGGAGTGCAAGGCGGGAAACTGGGCAAGTTTGAACGGTGACCGCGCGCACGTTCAGAGTTTCAGAGTAGCAGTTATCATTTGTGTGTCTTAGCCTATGTATTAGGTGGTTCATTTGCTTATTTTAACGTGTGTAATCGCTACTGGTATAAGTAGCAAGTCCAAACTATCGTGTGAACTGCTTGGACTCATTGTAATCGTATTGTGCTGTCCACAAATATCTGAGGAAAATAGCTCTGTCAGGATTAATTGACAGTTGCCACTTTCAGTGTTCTTCAGAGTTTTCAGTTCCTGATTGCGATTGAGTCGATCCGGTTAGGAATAGCCAACGTGATAACGTGTGATTTGTGTTCTTAGATCCTACATCCACCGGCAGAAACACCTCTCCGTCCCACTGAGATAGTCAGAGTTTGCCTCCGTCGCGGCCAGCCCTTGCTCTCCCAAGCCACCTGCCGCTTTTTGGCTCCCAGCACCACGGCCGCCGCCGCTCGGCCGCCGCCAGGAAGCGCGCCGACGACGGCCAGCGGCGGCTGCCTCCGTCGCCGCCCGGGTTGCCGCTCCTGGGCCACCTCCACCTACTGGGAAGCCTGCCGCACCGATCGCTGCGGTCGCTCGCGGCGGCGCACGGGCCCGTCATGCTCCTGCGCCTAGGCCGGGTGCCGACGGTGGTGGCGTCGTCGGCGGCCGCGGCGGAGGAGGCCATGAAGACCCGGGACCTGGCCTTCTCGGGGCGCCCCAGGCTGCTGATGGCGGAGCGCCTCCTGTACGGCCGCGACGTGGGCTTCGCGCCCTACGGCGAGTACTGGCGCCAGGCGCGGCGCGTGTGCGCCGTCCACCTCCTCAGCCCGCGCCGCACCGCCTCGTTCAGCCGCGCCCGGGAGCAGGAGGTCGCCGCGCTGGCCGCTCGCGTCCGCGCCAGCGACGACGGAACGGGCGCCGTCAATCTCAGCGACGCCCTCATCTGCTACTCAAAGGCCATCATCTCGCGCGCGGCGTTCGGGGACGGGGACTACGGACTCCACGGCGACGAGGGCGGCGAGAAGCTGCGGCGCGTGCTCGCCGACTTCCAGGAGCTGCTCCTCGCGACGCCCATGCGGGAGGTGTCGCCGTGGCTCGGGTGGGTCGACACGCTGACCGGGCTGGAGGCCAAGACGAGGCGCACCTTCGAGGCGCTCGACGGCTTGCTCGAGCGGGTCATCGCGGACCACCGCCGTAGACGGCGTCCTGGGCCTGGAGGGGACGGCCGGCCGGATGTTGACGGCGCTGGTGCCGACGACGATCACCGGGATTTCGTCGACGTGTTGCTGGATGTGAACGAGATGGACAACGACGCTGGGCTCCGGCTCGGCACGGACAGCATCAAGGCAATCATCATGGTAGTACATATCCATTTGTGCAATCGTCATGGTTATGCAATAATGATCTCTTCAGTCTCGACGTCATTTTTTTCTAAAAAAGGAAATAATATTCATCTGTGAGCAATTGAGCAGGACGTGTTTGCTGCCGGCACTGACACTTCGTACACGGTGCTGGGATGGGCCATGGCGGAGCTCATGAACCACCCGAACGAGATGCGAAGGCTGCAGGCCGAGGTCCGCGGTGCCATCGCCGGCAAGGACGCCGGCCGCCGCGACGTAACCGAGGAGCACCTGGACAGGATGCCGTACCTGAAGGCGGTGATCAGCGAGACGATGAGGCTGCACGCGCCGGCGCCGCTCCTGATCCTGCGCGAGACGACGGAGGACACGGAGCTGCTGGGGCACCGCGTGCCGGCGCGCACGCGGGTGGTGATCAACGCGTGGGCCATCGGCCGGGACCCCGCGGTGTGGGAGCGCGCGGAGGAGTTCGTGCCGGAGCGGGCGCCGGCGCGCCACCGGTGGAGTACAGCTACAGCAAAGGTGGGGGTGGGGCAGGACTTCAGGTCCGTGCCGTTCGGCGCCGGGAGGAGGGGGTGCCCCGGCGCCGGGTTCGCCGCGCCGACTGTCGAGCTCGCTCTCGCCAACTTGCTGTATCACTTCGACTGGGCCGCGCCGACGGCGCACGGCGGCGGCGTGGGGACGCCGCCCGTGGACTTGAGCGAGGTGTACGGGCTCTCTGTCCGGCTCAGGACGCCGCTGATCCTCGTCGCCAAACCATGGCTAGGATGAACTTGACGGAATAAATGCATCCATGCTTATCAGGATGCGTCGAGAGCGCGATGTGTGTTCTGTGTGACCGTGTGGTAACCATGCATGCTTTCTTTGAACTAGCACAACTAGTGTGATACTGTCAGAAGTTCAGAACAGCAGCAAATGTAACCATAGCATTTTGGCAAATTTGTAACAGAAAAGCAAGCATGGGATGCGAAGAACCAAACAGGACAGGACAAGAGGAACCAAAACTGATTTCCATTTGCATTAGCAGATGCAGATCGACTTTGCCAACAGAGGCACAGCACAGAGCAGAGCACACGTTCTCTTCTCTCGGACAAACAGAACGAGCCACAGCACGGATACTACAGAGTACTAGCAGTACAGCCTACCCAAGCCTGTTTGTTCATAACGGCGATCAATTCTGGTATGAGACGATGGTTCCTTAGAATTCAAGAACACTACTAATCTACTCAGAACGAGATGTCCCCTGACAGAAAGCTGCAGGCAAGAACATTACTGATCACCAGGGGAAACAAATGGAAGCCGCCGGCGAGAGGAGATGGATTATATTCAGATGGTCATCGTCTCATCCCGACGACGACGGCTGTCCCTCGTCCGTCTCCTTCGTCAGCTCCAACCCCTCTAGCCAAGACTCAACGTACTGGACCACCGAGCGATCGTTCCTCTCCCTCTCCATCTTCCCGACGGCGTCAAGCTCTGCATGCAAAACAGCAGCAATTTATCAGGGTCAGCAAGCAAAAGCAATTAGCGATACAGATCTATCCAAATTAATAAATGCTTGCTAGTAAAATCAGATCTGAGCAACATCGATCGATGCCAAACAGCAATGCATGCAACTTTGTTCAGAGAAGAATTCCATTCATTCCGTGCATTGCTGTTTGCATCAAAGATTGGAGTACGCATATATGTTGCTGTTGCCTGTCATCTCCAGACTAGTATGCAGGATGTCAGTTACAGCACCAGTGCAGGCACAGAGTATGATCAGTGATGATAGATATCACGGAACTGCTAGTATATCTGATTTGGCTTCGGATTTGTGATTGTATTGTAATGTTCAAACAACACCTAGAAACGTACTGAACATATATTTATCAATGGTGGTCAGACAGTGATCTCGCATGTCAAGTTCAATTCCCAAAAACTGGACTACTGGAGAGCACAACATGCATGTAGACCTCCCTATGCTATTGTATCCGTCAATTCAGCAAGAAGCAATAATTCAATGCTAGTATGGTTTTGCATGCATATAACAGAAGCATGATGCGCAGATACTACACAGCAAACAAGAACCCTAGTTAGCTTCCTTATTACCTGACGGGAGGACAGTGTGATCATTAACGAAGACATGCAGCATTAATTAGATCGATTAACTAATGAATCGGAGCATGCAGTTATCTGAACAAGAAGAAGCGGTGATGTATCACCGTCTGGAGGAGATGGTGAAGAAGGCTCGGTGCGGGGACTCCGGGGAGGCGAGGGTGGCGACAGCTCCCAGGCGTCGAGGATGGGGCGGGAGTTTCGGAGCATGATCTCGCGGTCGTCGCGCACCGAGCAGTCCTCGCAGGAGACGACCCGCCTGGCGCGCACGTCCAGGCCGAAGAGCTTGGAGCCCTGGAGGAAGTAGACGACGCCGTGGTCGTCGGGGTCGACGAGGGCGACGTGGGGCACCTCCCCGTGCGGTAGCCCGGCGGCGGCGTAGGACTCGTGCGCCCAGACCTCGGCGAAGGGCGCCTCGTACTCGAACCTCCAGGGCTCCGCCGCCTCCGGGTCGACGAGCGTCCACATCCAGACGCTGGGGTTCACCGGCGGGGGCGCCACGTCGGGAGCCACGTGCACCTCGTAGGAGAGGCCCCGCACCTCGACGTAGCGGAGCAGGCCCTCGCTGGGCGCGACGCGGCGGCGCTGCGCGACGTAGACGCGGTGGGAGAGCTCCTCCAGCATCTCGCAGTCGCGGGGCAGCGGGACGAAGCGCAGGTGCGAGGTGGCGGCGAAGGGTCGCAGACGAAGACGCCGTAGGCGAGGGCGAGCCAGTAGAGGCGTCCGGCGTGGGCGAGCACGCCGGTCTCGGCGCAGGGGTTGCGCATGCGCACCGAGGAGGAGGTGAGCAGCGGCTTGAGGAACCACTGCAACGTCGCGGTGGAGTAGCAGAGCAGCTTGTCGCCGTGGAGGACCGACTCGCGCGGGTAGAGCTGCGCGACCAGGTAGTGGCCGCGGCGGCGCGGGTCGGGGTCGGCGATGAGGCCGACGCTGCGGCGTGGCCGCGGCTCGATGCGGAGACGGGGGTAGGGCACCGGGAGCAGGGTGGTGGCCCGGCGGGCGTGGGTGTCGCAGAGGTACATGACTTCGTCCTCGGCGGGATCGTTGCTGCCGGGGTTGTTCACGCGGAAGAGGAGGCGGCCGGAGCGGTCGGCGGCGAGGATGTAGGCGGACGGCTGATGGGCGAAGTAGCTGGGGTCGAGGGCGACGATGCGGGGGTGCAGCACCAGGTAGGAGGGCTGTGGAGGGTCGTGGAGGTCGAGCTCGACGTTCGTGCCGAGGGGCATCGCCCGAGCACGCTCGTCCCCGTCGAGGAGGATGACCGCGGTGGAGACGAGGGCCACCCAGCGTCGCTGCGGCGGCTCCGGCTCCGGCTCCGCGTCCTGGCGGGCACGCGACGACGACTCCGCCGCCGCTTCGGACGCCGACATGGCTGGCGCGAGGCGATGCGGCTGCACTGCGGTGCTTGGGGCGTGGGGAATGGGAGGGTGGCGAGGCGGTTGGTTTGCGGGGTTGGATTTGAATTGATCCGTGTGGCGTGCGTGCCTGCTACAGGGAAGGGGACGGGGATTTTATAGGCAGGGGCAGGAGCAGGGCTTGAGGAACAAGTTGGTGGCGGCGTCGACGGCTGGGCAGCCGACGGGCCGGGCCGGGCCGGCGTGCTGTCTGCTGCGCCGCTTAGCGCTTGCGCATCAGCACGGTCGCACGGGAACGGAGCCAAGGTGAAAAGGGTGGAGTCCACGTCAACGGAAATACGGAATGCGAGAGCCGAGAGGGAACAGCCGACCGCGGCAGCAGAGTACCCACGGCGTGCATGCCATTGCTTTGCTTCGTCTCATCTGATTCTGATGGGCCACCAGCCCACGATGCATGCACAGGTGTGAAGTGTTTCTAAAAAAAAACATAAATAGTTCAAGTTACCTCTATGTCCTATATAGAGCGGATTTTAAATGTGGTTTTAGAGTTTAAAAATGGGTTAATACCTGACAAAGTTTTTAAAACCACAAAAAAAATGCACTTTTAAAATTATAGAAAGATTTTTAGAGATAGAACGGGATACGCTAAATCCAAATAAAATATTTAGAGCTCATAAAAATATCTATAGATGCTTAAAAATAGATTTAGCTCTAGAAAAATATGAAAAATAATGGGAAATCTCCAAAATATTCTAATCGATGTATGTTTTGCTAAAAAAATACTTGTCCCGCGAGATAGAATGGTTCAATTAGACATGGCTTAACTAGCTATGTATAGAGCGGTTGAGTGCTATTCTATCTACAGAGGGTCGGGGGCAACACAACGCAGAGATTGAGGAACCCTACAACAAACATTCTTTTGGAGGGGCTCAAGGGGGATCTAGGAGCTCTACGGCAGTTGGGGGGGGGGGGCTCGAGCCCCCTTCGTCCCACTGTTAGATCCGGCCCTACTTGTGTGTGTAGAGTGGCTGAGCATTGTTCTATTTATACTGAGAGGTCGGGGGGCAACGCAATGCAACATAGAGATCAAGTGCAACTTCCCACGCAAGCTAAGAGACCTCTGTCGATAGTGGCGGTAGCTGTCCACGGTCCCTGCAGCAAGAATAATCCGTCAACTTTACCTATATTTATCCTTAAAACCAATCACCAACATAGGAAGTAGATGTTTAAACTAACTAATTCCATAAGTCTTGGTGAATATTTGTATGCAGGTTGATTTATCCAGAAAACATATCAAGGGGCCCATTGTCATACACATCAAGTATACGAACCAACGTCAACAAATGTGCAAAAACGTGAAAACCCACTCAAGACATAGTATAGACTCACATACCAGAAGAAGTGGCCCACCTGCCATGAGAGGGGGGGTCGGCCGACCCCCTGTGTAGGTCGGCCAACCTGCCCAGGTGGCCCCACAATCTCCGTCGCCTCGTGCACGTTCCTAACATCTACACCCTTGATTCTAAGGCGGTTTAAGGTCGGTTTATTCAACGGTGGTCGAGGGAGTTGACGCGTGAAAGTGCATCTAGCCCTTTAGTGGGGTTTGGATGATTGAATGACAATGTGATTAAAGGTCTAACCTATTTGCTAAGTATTGGACAGGTGATTGGTTATCTCACAGGTACTTGACTAAATTGTATAAAGCCAAAATGATGTGTTGTTGAATAAACAATCCAGTTCAAACACAAGACAACAATGCAAATGTAATTCATGAAAGGCTTATCTATTGTGGGATTTCTATGGTTCATGTGAAAGCAAGCACGTTGAGAATTAATGAGACATGAGGTATTTTATATGGAATGGTCTCATATTTGAAGCTTGCTACATTGAAAGACAACTATACAAATGAAAAGATGGATTATGAGCTTAATGGATGATTCAACACAAGGTGTGACTTGATGGCTTGAGATGGTGAAGATATCAAGGAAAGGCTTCGAGGTACTAAGCAAAGGTGAAGGGCAAGCGACGGCTTAGCGACCGAGGAACCTAGCTATGGTGAAGAAGAAAGTACTTGCATTTAGTTGAGGTACCAATCAAACTTTGATGGTCACATTAAAGTGGAGGATCAAATATATTGAAGAAATTGTTGGAAGTGACTTGATACATTTGAAGTTAATTCTCATCTATTGAATGGAATCAAGTCACATGATCAAGATGGCTTTGCTCAAGAAGAAAAACAAAGTTGACATGTTGACACCCTCACTTGATGATGATTGAGAGCTATGGCATTTGGTTTTGGAGGAAATCAACTCAAGCGGTTCAAACTCGTTTTCCATTTGATCTTGAGTAAATAGGTATGTCGTACTATTAAGAGGGATGCATTATGTTGATATATGATTATTCATAAGTGCTCAAGCCAACCCATATGAGGTTTGAATGAGAGAGAGACACAAGAGCTAACTCACCATGCTGTGGCTGAGCCTACCGGACATGTCCGATAGGCATGTCCGGTATGAGCATGGCCACAACAACATCTTCTGTGTTCTCGAGTTTTGGGAGTCGGAAGTTCCAGTGGGAGTCGGGAGTCCCGGGAGTCAAAAGTCCTAACAAGCATCGAGAGTTTTGACGCCTCGCACGCTTTTAACACTCTAACTTTAGGCGTAGTGCAAGTCATACCGGTATGCCTACCAGACATGTCCGGTATGCACGACCTGAGTCCAACGGCTAGAAAACAGCTAATTTTCAAAGGGGCTATAAATACCCCCAAGCTTCCACCTTTGGAGGCTGCTGATTCTGATAACTTCTATACACGTTTTTGAGCCTTGAGAACACTCTCCAACCCTCTCTTAGTGAGTAATTGATCCAATTTACAAAATCCATCTTTTGGGTTGAGTGAGATTCAAAATTGAGAGCAAGCCACCCTTGATCACTTGTGCATATATATATTTGTCGATCTCATGATTTGCATTTGTTACTCTTGGACTCTTCGGTCCTAGATGGCTAGGCATCACCGGAGAGCACCCAAGAGATTGTGGTGTGCCTCGGGAAGTTTGTAATGGTTCGATTCCACCGCCGCAAGTGAAGGGATCAACTAGTGGAAGGAGGAAAAGGAGTTGGAAAAGACTCCGGCTAGAGTGACCTTCGTGGGTCCTCTAGAGCTAACCTTTGTTGGGTCGCTCGCAGCCCCCTCAACGGAGAGTAGGACTCGACAGAGTCTGAACTTTGGTAAAACAAATACCGTGTCTCAATTTCCTTTTCATTTGGTATTTGTGACCTATGTGTGTTGCTTGAGCTTGTGAACATGTTACTAGTAGGTACCTACAACTTGGTGCGAAAGGAGAAATCAAAAGGAGCAAATTTGGCAGCTTACTGCACAACCCGTGGATACTGGACACGTCTAGTATTTGGGGTTAGTGCCAAATTCATTTATTCTTTGCTCATTGTGTTGCAGGCTTGTGGCTCCTAAACTTATTTAGTACTTGTTATATACCCTTTGGTTAACTCGCGAGGGGTTTATTTCTTTGATTTTGAATTTCTGAGTCATCTGAAATTCCTATACTAATCGTTTCCGCATTTAAAAGTGTTATTTTTTAGAAACGCTGGGTAGGTGTTGCTCACACAGGCAGAGTGGGAGGCCAGACAAAAAAACCTCCGGTGGTGATTCTTTAGGGAAGGGGAGGAAGCAGGAGAGTGGAGGACATGGCCGAGGCCGTGGCCGTGGTGGTGGTGGCGATGCTGGGAAAGATGGCACCGAGAAGCGTGACAAGAGTCACATCAAATGCTTCAAGTGCCACAGGTGTGGGCACTATGTGAAGGCGAGAAGAAGGGAGAAGAGGCGCACTGTGTGAAGGCTGAGGAGAAGGAGCCGACAGTGTTGCTCGCGGAAATTCACCACTTAGATGTCAAATCTGCTTTCTTGCATGGAGAACTAGAAGAAGAGGTCTATGTTTCATAGCCAGAAGGACATGTTGTGAAGAGTAAAGAGCAGTGTGTTCTGAAATTAAGCAAAGCTCTTTATGGACTTAGACAAGCTCCAAGGGCTTGGAATGTCAAACTTGACAAAATCCTGAAGAAGCTGAACTTTAGAAGATGTTTGAGTGAGCAAGCAGTGTACACCGGAGGAAATGGTGATAATGCAATCATCTTGGGTGTTTATGTTGATGATTTGATTGTCACAGGGGGTAATCCATATGAAATCAATCTCTTCAAAAGGCAGATGATGACTGAGTTTGAGATGACAGATTTGGGTCTGTTGAGTTACTACCTTAGGATAGAGGTAGAGCAAAAGGAAGATTATGTCTTTGTTAAGCAAAGTGGATATGCCAAGAAGGTGTTGATGCAATTTGTGATGGGTGAATCCAATCCTACCAAATTTCCAATGGAACCTAGTTGCAAGCTAAATGCAGACAAGGGAGGGCAGCAAGTAGATGCAACTGAATACAGAAAAGGTGATTGGGTGCCTAAGATATTTGTTGCACACTAGGCCTGATCTAGCATATTCAGTGGGATTGGCCAGCAGGTTCATGGAGAAGCCAACAGTGATGCATACTAAGGTAGTCAAGCAGATCACGAGATATCTGAAGGGCACTATAGACTTTGGACTGGTGTATGTTCAAGGAGGGAGTGCAGACAAGTTAGTGGGCTACACTAACAGTGATCTAGGTGCCGACTTAGTGGAGAGAAGCACAGGAGGCATGACATTCTATCTGAATGAGAATTTGATCACTTGGTGCTCTTAGAAGCAGATGACAGTAGCACTGTCATCTTCTGAGTCTGAATTCATGGCAGCCACCACAGCAGCAAAGCAAGCATTGTGGCTGAGGAACTTGATTAGTGAAATCACAAAGGAGAAACCAAAGGCAGTCACTCTCTATGTTGATAACAACTCTACAATTGCACTCATGAAGAACCCAGTGTTTCATGGTAGAAGCAAGCACATTGATATAAAGTATCACTTTATCACGGAGTGTGTTGAGAGAGGACATATCATTGTGAAGAGAGTTGGTACTGAGGAGCAGAAAGCCGATGCCTTGACCAAAGCAATGCCAGCGGGGAAGCTATCAGTCATCAGACATTTGCTTGGGGTCAGAGATATCAGTGTGTGCCAGGCTTAGGGGGGAGCATGTTGGTGTAACCCTGCCAACACTGATACTGAAGACATTCAGAGAAGATGGCATAAGTGAGCAGAGCGGGAAGGCTTTGGTTTGAATTGTGGATGCCAGAGCGGGAACTGCGGTTGCGGTGACCGCGCCCACGACGCACTAGTTTCTGCAGAGTATGTTTTTAGAGTCATGTATCTTTGTTTAGCGGTCGTGTTAGCTAATGTGTGAGTGGTAGGCTACTGGTATAAGTAGATGGGAGTTCCTTGAGTCAAGTAAGTGTGTAAACCGCTGGTCAGGCCCTTTGTATTCGAACCCACTATCAGTGAAAAAGGGCACTGTCTCCCGGGCGACCTCCGGGCAGTTGCCATTCGTGTGTGTGTTCTTCATTTTTGTTCATGCGTTCATCGATTTGATCGATTAATCCAGCCACCATACAGCGTGCAATCATGATCTTTTGATAACATCGGAGCAGGAGGCCGCCGCGCTGGCCGCCCGCGTCGCGGCCGTCGACCTCAGCGAGCTCCTTACCGCATACGCCAACTCCGTCGTGTCGTGCGCGGCGTTCGGCGACGACAGCGCGTGGGGGCTGTTCGACGACGGTGACTCCGGCCGTCGGCAGAGCAAGGTGTTCACCGACTTTCAGAAGCTCATCGGGACGGTGCCGGTCGGGGAGCTTCTGCCATGGCTGGGCTGGGTGGACGCCATCACCGGGCTAGAGGGGAAGATCAGGCAGACGTTCGAGGCGCTTGACCGCGCCGGGGGTGAGGGTGGCGGCGATGGCCGGGACTTCGTGGACGTGTTGCTGGACTTCCACAAGAACGACAAAGAGCACGGCATCCAACTGGAGACCAACGAAATTAAGGACATCATCTTTGGTAAATAAATATACTAATATATCAATCGATGGATCCATACATTCATTGTTATATATAAATATTCTGCATGCATCTGCGTATAGTAGTTGATCGATCTCTTTCGTGTATCATGGGCGGCGGCGGCGTCACTACTCACTCGGCAGGACATGTTCGCGGGAGGCACGGATACGACACCACGACGATGGAATGGGCCATGGCGGAGCTCGTCACCCACCCGCGCGCCATGCGCAGAGCGCAGGACGAGGTCCGCACGGCGACGGCCGGCTCAACCGGCGTCAACGAGGACCACGTCGCGCAGCTGGACTACCTCAAGGCCATGGTGAAGGAGACGTTCCGGTGCTGTTGCTGGTGCCCCGGGAGCCGCGGGCGGACGCCGAGATCCTGGGGTACCACGTCCCGACGTGCACGCGCGTGCTGGTCAACGCCTAGGCCATTGGCCGGGACCCCGCGACATGGGAGCGCGATGAGGACTTCGTGCCGGGGAGGTTCTTGGACGGCGGCGCTGCCGCTACTAGCGTCGACTTCAGGGGGCCGCTCGCTCGAACAGTAGATTTTGGCTTGCTTTGATGATTGAATAGTATTATGTGAAAGAGAATAAGTTAAAATAGGCTAGGACTATACTAGCCGAACGCAGTTGCTGCCGTTCGGCGCCGGCAGGAGGGTGTGCCTCGGGATGGGGTTCGCGGAGGCAAGCGCCGAGATGGCGCTGGCGAGCTTGCTGTATCATTTTGACTGGGAGGTGGACGGCGGCGGTGTGCTGGGAAGCCAGAACCGAGAAGGGACGCCGACGCCATCGTTGGACATGACCGAGATGAATGGGATAGCCGTGCATATCAAGTCCGGTCTGCCGCTTCTAGCTAAGCCGTGGGTCCCTTAAACTATTGTTATTAGGCTGTCTCTGACAAGAGACCCATTGCGGAACCTAACCCTCAAATGTGTCTCTAACATAATATATAGCATCTAACAGAGTATCTATATGGAAGAACCATTTTAGATGTCAGAAGAGGCATAACCCAAATCTGATTATCCTCTTTTTTGGAGACTCATTTGCAAAAATGGTTGTCTTTTGGGTCTTGTTGTTGAAGAAGACCAAAAATGAGTATTGAACCCTTTGCCTGTAACGCTATCCAAAGGACAAATGGGTCTTGTATTTTGGATCGCGGTTGTTGGAGACAGTCTAGGCCAGTCTCAATGCAGATTTCATGGGGTTTCATGCACATTAAATAGGGTGCCACGTTAGCAGAAATAGAGCTTTTGCATGTATCGAGGAGAAGAGAGAAGGAAAACATTTCATGGGGATGAAAGGAGTGAGCGTTGTTTCTAAAACATTGGAAACTGGATGAAACCCCACTGAGAGCCTTTCGTTCGTTTCATCCCGTGCGCGATATCTTTTTTCCATCGAGCGCGGGTGAGGCCGCCACTGCTGGGCGTGGACGAGACCACCGCTGTTAGAAGGGATGGCGGTGCGGGAGGGTAAGGCCGAGGGGGAAGGTAGGCTCCTTCAGCCGTGGGCGCGGGCGGCAAGGGTGCGGCGAGGGCGTCGTCGAGGGTGATGCCGTCATCCTCGCCGTCGCACACGGCCTCAGATCTTGCTGTGACAGATTCCGTATCTACCAGCTGATGCGGCGCACATGAAGCCATCTCGCTTTCAACACGTCAGGATCTTCCTAGGTCGCCTGACGAGGACGTGGTGGCGCCCACGTAGATGGACGCGCTTTCACAGGAAGGAAGCATCGGTGGCACAGCGGCAGCGCATGACTTCACTGAATTTCCTCGTCTGCGCGACCGGGTTCGGTTCGGTGGCTAGGCGCCACGCTCCTCTGATCCTTCCCCCATGCGGCTAGGGTTTGCGGATGGATGCTGGGCGGAGCGGAGGTCTCATCCACGCCCGGCGGTCATGGGGTTCCTGGGCTGAGCGGAGGGCATGAAAGGGCCTACGTCGGAGGCAGGAGGGGACTGGCGCGAGCTCCGTCGGCCGCGAGCTCCAGCGGGCGGCGGGCGCGGCTCCAAGGGGATGGCAGGCATGAGAGACACCGGTGGGACCCACAAAAAGCTAAAATAACCCATGAAACTGTCAGCGTGATCGGCTGGGGCTGGCTGGCCAGCCCCCTCACATGGACACTGTTCCAATGAACCAGCGAGCAGTACTTCTCTCTCACATAAACGAACCAGCAACGATACGAACCAGCCAACCAAACAGGCTCTGTGCCGATGAAACTTTGTACTGAGAGAGACTAGGGAGACCTATTTCATGTTAAGTTTTATTCTTGGAAACTGAGAAATGAAACCTTCCATTGAGACTGGCCTTAGTACAGTCTCAGTGGAGAGTTTCATTATGCCATTTCCAAGACTGTCATGTCATATAGAATAAAATAAAACTTGCATGAAACACCTACTCTCAATTTAAAGTTTCATTCTATAGTCTCATAGACATTTAATTCCATGACTCATAGAGAGTTGGTAATCGTGTAAGAGAGTTTTATCACCATGAAACTCACTTCGTCTCTCTTTATTAAAACGTTGCATGTTATCAAAAGTACATATGTGGTATGTTATTAAATCCAAATGAAACTCTAATGAAACCTCAGCGCGACTAGCGTTATCTTTGGTGGTTGCATGCTTTTTGCACCAGAATTCGCGTCATGGTGTGCGAGGCAATCGTGTTTCTCATCTGATCGAGCAATAAATGATCATTATACATACGTATTGTTCTATGTTATGTTTTGATGCTACGATGTTTTTTTTTTCATTTTTGCGAAACTGCTTAAACACGTTTTCACTTTTTGCGAAACAATTTTTTTAGCCGTAGCTTTACTGGTTTGAAAAATGTTTGGAAAAACAACTTTACGGGCTTGTTGAAAAGGATAAAATGTCTATAATACCATTCTGTTTTTATTATTTCTATTTATTTCCTTCTTCTTTTCTTTATTAATTTTTTCCTCACTTATTTTACTTTTTTTTTATTTTTCTGTCTCCACACCAGGACCATATGCATTTTTCTCTAATCTCATGCACGTTGTTGTGTATGCCTTCTTATACACGCCCTGCCCTCTTCACATTCTTTCTCCAATCTCCACTGCATGCACCGCCGTTTCCGCCATGCGTCGTCTCCTGTCTATGCCAGGGCCGTCTCCGCGCCTCACTTCTGCCCCTCCACTCCCAGCTTGGCCTGAAATTTTTTTAAATAATATTTTTTAATGATTAATTGCAAATATAGCATTTAATTAAAAAGAATTTCAAATCCAGTAGCCCGTCGGCCATTGGATAGCCAACAAGGCTCCGGATGGGGCTGGCTCGTATGGCAAAGTGGGCCATATCGGGCCGATAGGCCTATCGGCCGTGCGGGAGCCGATAATGTCCTGTCGGCTATCCGCTGGCCGATAGGCCGTAAAATACCTAGCCAGCGTGTCTTCCTTCTTCCCTCTCGCTCGCGCTGGCTCTCTCTCTCACCGTTGCACCATCGGCCGCCGCTGCTCGCCCGCCCTGCCGCGCAGGCGGCATCCCTGAGCCGGCCGGCGCCGAATCCGACGGAGGGCATGCCGCCGCCGCCCCCCACCTTTGCCGCGCGGCGCCTACTCGCCCGGCACCTGCTCGTCCAGCGCTGTGTAGGTAAGTTTTTTATATATATTTTTTTTGTAAATTTAGACTTCAGTTTTTTAGTTAGTTTATTTAGATTTTGTTAGTTTAGTTTGTTTAGTTAGATATGGTTAGGGTTAGATTAATTAGTATATTTAGTTTCTAATCGTACATTAGGGTTAGTTTTTTAGGGTTAGATTAATTAGTATATTTAGTTTTTAGGATTAGGGTTAGTTGTAGATTGGATCTTGTTTTTTAGGGTTCATTTGAGTTGTAGATTAGTTTTTTAGTTATTTTTGTAGGGTTAGTTTTAGCTGTCTTAGTTATTTTTAGTTAGGTTGTAGGGTTCGATTTACTTAGGGTTAGGGTTAGTTATGCCAACGTTATTTTTAGTTAGCAGGTTTAGTTTTATGGGGTGTTTGGATCAGGGACTAAAGTTTAGGAGGTGTCACATGGGGGTATCGCATGGGGTGTTCGGATACTAATAAAAAACAAATTACAGAATCCGTCAGTAATTCGCGAGACGAATTTATTAAGCCTAATTAATCCATCATTTGCACATGTTTACTGTAGCACCACATTATCAAATCATGGACTAATTAGGTTTAAAAAATTCGTCTTGCAAAACAGTTTCAATCTGTGCATTTAGTTTCATAATTAGTCTATATTTAAGACTCTATGCATGTGTCCAAACATCCGATGGGACAACGACTAAAGTTTACGAGGAGGAAACAAACACTGCTTTAGTTAGGGATCGGATATGCAGTTTTTCGTATTACTTTTGGATTACGCCTAGTTTAGTTAGTAGTTTGCTGTTAGGGTTAGTTGTATGGTATTTCATTTAATTAACTGACACGTTACTTTGCACGATGCGACCAGGAATGTCGATCAATTTAGTCCCTTTTCAGAATTTACCATGGTAACGGTGAAATCAAATATGGGGACAACGGGTAGGCCTTAGTGAGTTCTAGGTCTTTGACACAGAACTGAATTCACCGCTAGATTATAGCCGGAAACAAGTTTTAGCCTGGTTGCATGAATATTTGGGTGTTCCGCCCTCCCAGCATCGTTTTATGATTAGTATGTTGGTGCCTAAATTACGGGAGAATGGATGGAGGTGGGAGCTGTATGAGGCTAGTAACACCAAGAAGTGGCATTTTTCTCATGTTCAAGGCGTTGGAGTGTTGTTATTATAATATCATGCTTGTTGAGTTCCTGGATGGTGGCATGCAGGGTGAGAGTAGCAACATAGGTGCAGTAGAGGACAACTTAGAGGCCACAAATACGACCTATGTTTGCCATCCTCAAGCAGTTTAGAACACGACAGAGGATGGAGAAGCGGAAGAGTATGGTCCGTACATAAAAGCTGACTAGGGTGACGAGGACGAAAGAATCGTGGAACAGATGGAGGCTGACGATGCGGAGCACCTTGCCTTTGTGGATGAATTTGCGGGCAGGAGCTTTGACGACTAGTGGTGGACCTTTGAACATAAGAAGTACAGAGTTCCACACATGCCATTGCAAGTCATGCTTTGTTTACTTTTCCTAAGGCATGTTAGGATTAGTGGTGGGACTACTTACCTTAGCTACATACAGTTCCACATATGCCATTTAGTATTGCAGGTTTGGTCCATGTGCCGCGCTGGGTTAATATTAGAATGTGTTTGCCTTCAAAAGTTTGTAAGGTTCCTTAGGTTATGGTGCATAATATATGTTTATATGTCCGGAAAAGGAGAGCAAATGTTTTTAGTGTTGTAGTGATAAAGTTAATTTTCTATCTGGTGATGGTTTTGTTCGGAAAAGAGCTCATATCGAGCAATGGTTGTCTCTAGAAAAGGAGGGTACAACATGAAATAGTGTAATCGGGTGCTGGATAGCCGACAGGCCTGTCGGCCATTGGGTCCTGTAATCGGGTGCTCACGTGCGCCGTGGCGGCGCACGCCCTGGCGGCCGTGCTTGCGTACGCCCTGTCGGCCATGGCTGCCCGTGCCCCGGCGGTGACGCCGGCGCCCCGATGTCCGCACCTGCCCTTCCGGCCATGGGCTCGAGCGACCGCGCCTCCCGGTTGCGAGACGACAATGGACGCGCCTCCCGCCCATGAGCTTGAGCGGCCGCGTCCGCGCGTGCCCCGGCGAGCCTCAACGACAGGGCATACCACGAGCTCTGGCGGCTGCATACCTCCTCTTCGGGTGCGGCAGCCGGGACTGCGCGCCCCGGCCCGGCAACCACGCGCGTCCCAGTGGCCCTTCTCTCGGCAGTTGAGCACGCTCGACGGTCGCAGCGGCGGTCGTCGCACGCTGC